ACGTTATAGTGTGTGGATATATAGTTTGTATGTGGCATGTACATAAATAGTGTATATATATAGTGTGCATACATATATAGTGTCTATTCTTACATATGCTTGGTATATGTGTGCATATACCTCATCTGTGTGTGTACTAGAACACAATGAAAGCAGAGACTTAGAGAGTACACTTGAAGATGGTAGGAAGGACATTTATTACACACAATTTAGATATTTTTTAATAAAATAGAAGCACCTTGAGGCTTGCCTCCCTCTGAGGAAAGCAGCCCCTGAAGGAAGAAGAAACAGAATTAGGAAGGAAAATAGAGAAATCTTATTAAAAGCAAGGAAGAACCGAATTCCAACATGAGGCTAGTTAGCAAAAGAAAGACCTTAAAAAACAAATCCAAGGCAATGGGAAAGCGAGGGCAGGGCACAGGGAATCAATGGACTTGATAGGAAGATGGCAGTGAACAGAGGTGAAATTTTCAGGAAACGGTGGGATGAGTCATGGTGACAAACTAGAGTCAGACACTTTCCAGTCTGTCTCTTCCCAATACTTTGGCTTTGAAAGATGACAAGCTAAGCAGCTTTCATGGAAGCAAAATAAAAAATGGCTTTCTTTGGTTCCCGGTAAAAGGAGAGAGCTCAAACATGTTTGTGGACAGAAGGCTACAGTCCTGGTATTCACATCATGAAACATCCATCATAGCAATCCTCCAATCCACCTAGTAGTAGCTCAAAATCTCTCGCAACAACTCTGTGAGGTAGGTTCTATGATTATCTACATTTTATAGGAAAGGAAGCAAGGCATGGAGAGATTAACTTTTCCAGAGTCCCTCAGCTTTTAAGTCTCAGAGTCAAGGTTGCCCCAGGCCATCTGACTTCAGCCTGAGTGCTAGCTGACATGCCGTGAAGGACAGGGAAAACAGAGCCCTGACCTCATGCTTTCTCAAGCCCACTTAGATGACCTAGGCCTACTTCCCTAGCTTTCCCTCCTGCCCAGCAGAGGCTTGGAACCCAGGGACGTCCACATCAAAATAGTGGGCTAGGGGGGCACCGTGTTGAGGGGCAGTGGCTGGGGAGGAATAGTGAAGAGAGGCCATTTGTTGGTGCCGCAGAGTTTGCAACTTAATAGCATTTGGTAAGATGGAGATTATCTTAAGCTTCATCAGAGAAGAAGGATAGTATACACTACCAGACCTAAGGTCGAGAACTTGCTCCAACTTCTATTATTTTAGAATCTGGAGTAAGTCACTTAACCTATGGAGGTACCAATTCTCTATCCAGAACGTTTGATAATAATAATAATAATAATAATTTTTTAAATGATGATAACTATCCTACCTCCCTTAGAGAAATGTAAGGAGCAATGTGTGTGACAGTGAATGCAAATGTGAACTACTTCATTGCCATCATTATTATTGTTATAACTATTAGACCCTCAAGCTATCTGAAAAATTGCTCATCCTCTCCACTCCACTTCCACCTCTCAAGGTATTACAAACTGATGACATGCGATTTTGAGAAAGTCTTTCTAAGCCCAAATAATTTCTATGTGGACAATTTGACCCAAGTGTAAAATTCCCCTGTAAAATTCCCTTATAAGGCGAGGCAACATGACACATTGTTAAAAACTCTCAGAGAGTGAGCTGTGATCGTCATGATCCAAGGTTTGCAGGCAGCTCTGGGGAGACTGGAGCTGCTCAAAACAACAAATACTTCTATCAGATGTTCCACACCTGCCCGTTCATCCTTCTTTGCTTTGTTAATCATGATATTAACATTCGACCTCCAATCAGCACTTTCCCCTTACATCTCACTACCTGTTTTCGTGGATTTCACTTTTATACATTAATATAGACTTTAAGTCCCAGCCTGGTCTTGCTAAGGACAGAGGAGGGGATAACTTTAGTGAAGAAGCCAAGAGAGCACACACATTGGGAAGGAAAATGCCTCTGAGTTAGTTGCCAGGCATTCTAACTGCATTTTGCCAAAGAATTGGAGGAATTTCATTTGGCAGACTGTGGAGACCAGGTCTTTAGATGGATTTTTCACCTGTAGACACATAGTTTGGTTCATATATGTAGTGAGCCTAAAATTAAATGCAAAGCTGCCATTCTTTATACTTTTCTGTCTAAATTGTATTGACTTTTAACTTTGCCCTATCTAACTACACTCCAAAGATAAAATTAAAACAATTGGGCAGCAGTTGAATGGAGAACATGATGAGCAGTGATAGGGACACTTACTGTCACAAATAATCTTCAAGAACATTGGAGGCACCCTGGCCAGTTTGGCTTAGTACATAGAGCATCAACCTGCGGACTGAAGGGTCCCAGGTTCGATTCCAGCCAAGGGCACATGCCTGGGTTGCAGGCTCGATCCCCGGTGGGGGCATGCAGGAGGCAGCCGATCAGTGATTCTCTCTCATCATTGATGTTTCTATCTCTCTCTCCCTCTCCCTTCCTCTCTGAAATCAATAAAAATGTATTAAAAAAAAAAGAAGCAGAAGAACATCGGAGGCACAATCTCCTTTTAAGGTGAGGAACTAGGGATGTAGGGTCAAATTTCACTTTTTTCCTTTGAGAAATGGACATGCAGTTTGCATGTTTGTTTACTTAAGAAAAATGAATATACAAAATTCCCAAATAGCCGAGACGATGCGTATGATCGTCATTTGTACTAGATTGCTTCATGAAAAAGGGGGGTGCACTCTGAACCCCTTTCTGTATCTACCAGCCCCTCGAATGTACCCATTTGACTCACCAGTTTTGTAAAGCAAGGCACCCCAGTAATTCTATTCATCCCCAACACTGCCCTCCCCCCAGATAAGCAAATGGTTGCTCAGTGTTAATCTCTCTAAAACTTCACAAGGTAATTCTTTAAGTTGCCTGTGAGGCAGAAAACAGTTAAAACACATTTAGAACAATAGTGTTTTTTCCTCTTTAAAATCTCTAGGCCAAAACAGACAGACCCCTTCTCCTGCCTTTTCCTCTCCTTTTCCTCTCCACACCCCACCACCAGATTTCTCTCATCCCAAGGTGGGGCAGGGGAGGCTGGGACAGAAACCTGCCATCCCAGCTCCCTCCCCCTGTTTTAGTTTTTTTACTCAAAATGCCAATAAAACAGGAGCCAGTACTTATTTGGTTCATATATTTTTTAAGCATAAATAACATTTCTTTCCATATAAATATAAAATTCTGTGAAAAAAATAGGAAAAAAAGTACGATCATCTTAGTTACTGTCCAGCAGGAACATGTTGCATTGTTTATAGCATCAGACATCAGATTCTCCATTTTAAAAAATATGGTTTTTAGTCTCATTCTAGGACACTTTCAAACGTAGGAAGTTCTTTGTCCTACAAACAAATCCATTTAGAAATGATTTAAATATGCCTGTGATAAATGTCTAAATCAATCCAGGAATCAAGGCTACTGAAGTGAGCTAGAATTCAACACCCAGTATACAATTATTGATACACAATTGATATAAATTACTTCATCAGATTGCACACAAAAATACATCAGATTGTCTCTAGAAATTTCCAGCAGGTAATAAATTACTTACTAAAATATAAAAATAAAAGAGCCCAGGCGTGTTTCTTCTGATTCAAGTGTGAAAACGCGCCAGCAGTCCTGGTTCCGAGGGGCACCCCCTGCCCTCCGCAGCCACCCCCACCCGGGAGGGGTGCGGGCTACCTGGCGCGAGGGGGCCGCAGGGTCCCCCAGAGTCTGTCCCAGTGCGTGAAGTACGGGGCGAAGTTGTAGTTGAAGTGAGAGTGATGCAAGTCGTGGTGCACCACGCCCCCGTACCACCCGAAGGGGACCAGCCTGTGCGTGGACCAGGGGAAGTCGTAGCCGGAGTGGTCCTCCACCGACAGCCAGATGTTGAGCGTGTGGAAGACCAGGACGGTGAGCGGGTGGCACTGGAGCAGCCAGACGTTCACCACGTCGAAGAAGCCCAGGGAAAACAGCTCCCAGGCGCTCACGTACTGCGTGGCCAGCGCGAACGAGGGCGCGTTCTGGTGGTGCACCTTGTGGAAGGTCCGGTACAGCCAGGGCACCCGGTGGTGCAGCACGTGCCACGCGAAGAACTCGGCGTCGAAGAGCAGCAGGCACAGCACGACGTGGCCCAGCAGCTGGGGCAGCGA